CCCTCTTAAGATCCTACAAACAATAATTTTTAAACAAGATGATTCTTTTTCTTCTCACGTCTCATTTATTCTATGTGTCAAATATTATTAACACAATTAATAATAAGTTTAAAGGTAGTGCATGTCACTGTAAAGTAGTATTACAAAGATATTAAATTAAAAATTTTAAATTTATCAAATATTTTGTTAAAAAAAAGTAGAAGCATAACTAAAAGGCAAAATAGTCATGGTTAGGAGCAAGGTAACCAAATCAATAGACTAAATTAATTGTAATATGGGTAACAATATATTATAAATTGATTAATTATTTTTCACTTTGTGATTATAATGGAATAAAAATGTCAGTAACATATTTAATTTTTTTTTGTAATGGAGATAAAAGAATCTATAATATAATCATAAATAATATTTAAAATTTGCATACAATATATAATTTATGATCAAAATATTATAAAATAGTTTATAATGTAAAATAATTTATTTTAATATATGATTATTTTATTTCATCTTTGGAATTAATTAATTCAAATAAATTATTAATATAACTTCAATATTTTTTTAATAAATTTAGTTAACTAAATTAGAAAAACTATTTTATCAGAGGAAAGTTTGAAATGTAAAACAAAATTTATAAGAAAATGTTTTTTTAGTGGGGCTTAAATCCCCTTAACAACATTAATAGATTCTCCCTCTTAAGCTCCTACAAACTGCTGTGGAGAAGTGTTTTTATGTTCAATGTCATATACTTGAAATATATTTCAACTATCTAGATTTTATACTACCTAAAAAAAACATAAATCATAGCAGCAAAAAAATTTATAGGAACAATTTCTAAAAAAGATGATTCTTTTTCTTCTCACGTCTCATTTATTCTATGTGTCAAATAATATTAACACAATTAATATAAAGTTTAAAGGTAGTGCATGTCACTGTAAAGTAGTATTACAAAGATATTAAATTAAAATTTTTAAATTTATCAAATATTTTATTAAAAAAAAGTAGAAGCATAACTAAAAGGAAAAATAGTCATGGTTAGGAGCAAGGTAACCAAATCAATAGACTAAATTAATTATAATAGGGGTAACAATATATTATAAATTGATTAATTCCTTTTCACTTTTTGATTATAATGGAATAAAAATGTTAGTGACATATTTAATTTTTTTTTTTGTAATGGAGATAAAAGAATCTATAATATAATCATAAATAATATTTAAAATTTGCATACAATATATAATTTATGATCAAAATAATATAAAATAGTTTATAATGTAAAATGTTTTATTTTAATATATGATTATATTATATCATTATTAGAATTAATTTATTCAAATAAATTATTAATATAACTTCAATATTTTTTTAATAAATTTAGTTAACTAAACAAGAAAAAACTATTTCATCAGAGGAAAGTTTGAAATGTAAAACAAAATTTATAAGAAAAAGTTTTTTTAGTGGGGCTTAAATCCCCTTAACCACATTAATAGATTCTCCCTCTTAAGCTTCTACAAATTGCTGTGGAGAAGTGTTTTTATGTTCAATGTCATATACTTGAAATATATTTCAACTATCTAGATTTTATACTACCTAAGAAAAACTTAAATCATAGCAGCAAAAATATTTATAGGAATACTTTTTAAACAAGATGATTCTTTTTCTTCTCACGTTTCATTTATTCTTACGTGTCAAATAATATTAACACAATTAATAATAAGTCTAAAGGTAGTGCATGTCACTGTAAAGTAGTATTACAAAGATATTAAATTAAAATTTTTAAATTTATCAAATATTTTATTAAAAAAAAGTAGAAGCATAACTAAAAGGAAAAATAGTCATGGTTAGGAGCAAGGTAACCAAATCAATAGACTAAATTAATTGTAATAGGGGTAACAATATATTATAAATTGATTAATTCCTTTTCACTTTGTGATTATAATGGAATAAAAATGTTAGTGACATATTTAATTTTTTTTTGTAATGGAGATAAAAGAATCTATAATATAATCATAAATAATATTTAAAATTTGCATACAATATATAATTTATGATCAAAATAATATAAAATAGTTTATAATGTAAAATGTTTTAATTTAATATTTGATTATTTTATATCATTATTAGAAATAATTCATTCAAATAAATTATTAATATAACTTCAATAGTTTTTAAATAAATTTAGTTAACTAAACAAGAAAAAACTTATTCATCAGAGGGAAGATTGAAATGTAAAACAAAATTTATAAGAAAATGTATTTTTAGTGGGGCTTAAATCCCCTTAACCACATTAATAGATTCTCCCTCTTAAGATCCTACAAACAATAATTTTTAAACAAGATGATTCTTTTTCTTCTCACGTCTCATTTATTCTATGTGTCAAATATTATTAACACAATTAATAATAAGTTTAAAGGTAGTGCATGTCACTGTAAAGTAGTATTACAAAGATATTAAATTAAAAATTTTAAATTTATCAAATATTTTGTTAAAAAAAAGTAGAAGCATAACTAAAAGGCAAAATAGTCATGGTTAGGAGCAAGGTAACCAAATCAATAGACTAAATTAATTGTAATATGGGTAACAATATATTATAAATTGATTAATTATTTTTCACTTTGTGATTATAATGGAATAAAAATGTCAGTGACATATTTAATTTTTTTTTGTAATGGAGATAAAAGAATCTATAATATAATCATAAATAATATTTAAAATTTGTATACAATATATAATTTATGATCAAAATATTATAAAATAGTTTATAATGTAAAATAATTTATTTTAATATATGATTATTTTATTTCATCTTTGGAATTAATTAATTCAAATAAATTATTAATATAACTTCAATATTTTTTTAATAAATTTAGTTAACTAAATTAGAAAAACTATTTTATCAGAGGAAAGTTTGAAATGTAAAACAAAATTTATAAGAAAATGTTTTTTTAGTGGGGCTTAAATCCCCTTAACAACATTAATAGATTCTCCCTCTTAAGCTCCTACAAACTGCTGTGGAGAAGTGTTTTCATGTTCAATGTCATATACTTGAAATATATTTCAACTATCTAGATTTTATACTACCTAAAAAAAACATAAATCATAGCAGCAAAAAAATTTATAGGAACAATTTCTAAAAAAGATGATTCTTTTTCTTCTCACGTCTCATTTATTCTATGTGTCAAATAATATTAACACAATTAATATAAAGTTTAAAGGTAGTGCATGTCACTGTAAAGTAGTATTACAAAGATATTAAATTAAAATTTTTAAATTTATCAAATATTTTATTAAAAAAAAGTAGAAGCATAACTAAAAGGAAAAATAGTCATGGTTAGGAGCAAGGTAACCAAATCAATAGACTAAATAAATTATAATAGGGGTAACAATATATTATAAATTGATTAATTCCTTTTCACTTTTTGATTATAATGGAATAAAAATGTTAGTGACATATTTAATTTTTTTTTTGTAATGGAGATAAAAGAATCTATAATATAATCATAAATAATATTTAAAATTTGCATACAATATATAATTTATGATCAAAATAATATAAAATAGTTTATAATGTAAAATGTTTTAATTTAATATAGGATTATTTTATATCATTATAAGAATTAATTCATTCAAATAAATTATTAATATAACTTCAATATTTTTTAAATAAATTTTGTTAACTAAAAAAGAAAAAACTATTTCATCAGAGGGAAGATTGAAATGTAAAACAAAATTTATAAGAAAATGAATTTTTAGTGGGGCTTAAATCCCCTTAACCACATTAATAGATTCTCCCTCTTAAGCTCCTACAAATTGCTGTGGAGAAGTGTTTTTATGTTCAATGTCATATACTTTAAATATATTTCAACTATCTAGATTTTATACTACCTAATAAAAACTTAAATCATAGCAGCAAAAATATTTATAGGAATAATTTTTAAACAAGATGATTCTTTTTCTTCTCACGTCTCATTTATTCTACGTGTCAAATAATATTAACACAATTAATAATAAGTTTAAAGGTAGTGCATGTCACTGTAAAGTAGTATTACAAAGATATTAAATTAAAATTTTTAAATTTATCAAATATTTTATTAAAAAAAAGTAGAAGCATAACTAAAAGGAAAAATAGTCATGGTTAGGAGCAAGGTAACCAAATCAATAGACTAAATTAATTGTAATAGGGGTAACAATATATTATAAATTGATTAATTCCTTTTCACTTTGTGATTTTAATGGAATAAAAATGTTAGTGACATATTTAATTTTTTTTTTGTAATGGAGATAAAAGAATCTATAATATAATCATAAATAATATTTAAAATTTGCATACAATATAGAATTTATGATCAAAATAATATAAAATAGTTTATAATGTAAAATGTTTTAATTTAATATATGATTATTTTATATCATTATTAGAATTAATTCATTCAAATAAATTATTAATATAACTTCAATATTTTTTAAATAAATTTAGTTAACTTAACAAGAAAAAACTATTTCATCAGAGGGAAGATTGAAATGTAAAACAAAATTTATAAGAAAATGTACAAGAACATGCACTACCTTTAGAAGGCTTGTTCAATAAATCTCCTAAACAAACAGTAGGAATTTTATAATCAAACGACCTAACTTATTGTTTTGTTCACGCTCTAAGGAAGTTACTTGTTCAGCCTCTGCTGTTCTTGTTTACGACTCTACTGCTATTGATTAATCCGCTGGGATTGGAATGCTTGACTTGCTTTCAAAGCCTTTCCTTTCTAGGCTAACTCTTAACTAAGTCCCAACAACGGCTAGCGAATAAACTGTAGGGCTTAAGGCAGCGAATGACCTGAGGGTAGGCAACTCAATAGAATAATTAAGCAGCCTGGCTTAAAGTCTAGGACTTCCTAACTACTTGATTTATAAGTCTTATTTGTTTTTTAAGACGGGAATGAATCGCATATGTTGGTTGAGAATTACTCGGGAATTCTTTTATAGTTACTTTTCCATGTTATAGGGGGCTACTCTTCTTTTTTGTCAATCGAGCCGCTTTCCCTCATTCCACTCGTCCAGCCTCTTCGCGAACTTGTACAATCGATGCCACAAAGATAGTCAACTCAATTATCGAAGAAATAAGGAAACGGGCGACGATTTGGCACCAGATATCCGGAGGTGTGGAAAGAGCAGCGGTGAGAAGCGGAAAAACCATCAAAAAACGACGATTGTTCGTGAAGGTTTCCACAGAAAGACCCCTTGGTTCTGGCAAACAGATCACAATTACAGGTACCTGAGAGCATACCGATGGAATGAACGAAATACGAACAGTTAGCATAATATGGTCATAGATCTTAGGTTGTAACTTGATCATGAGCGAATTTGTTGATGTTGCACCCACGAAGTATAGAAAGTACCAAACATTGGGAACTACCCGGGGAAGAGTTAGGAACAGGAACAAGGAGAAGCGAGAACCACTTAAATAGAGGAATCGATTGTATTTCCTCCTTTGTTCCCCATAGCAACAGGGGATCAAAAAGCACCAAATTTGATGACTTATTAAGGGAAAGACGAAGTAAGAACATGCTATTGAAGACGTTGCAACATATGTCGGGGAGGCCTCCGTTGATTGTGTACAAACAAAATACGAGTCCAAAGACAGGGTAAGAAAGGGTTTAGCTAATGGAGATATTAACTCTTCCGGGAACCAGTAACGCGTAAACCATGTCAAACCAAGACCGATCAATATCCGAACGGAACGGATTCGAACTTCTCCTAGAATAGTTTCCGGTGCGAAATTAAATTAATACATAGGATATATATTAGTAATTCAAAGGATAAATATTTTTATTTGATAGGATTAAGGTAGCGGTAGTATATTGGAAGAGGAACTAGCTTTGACTTTCGCTATCTTATTTGAAGTGCGAAAGCTCTTTCAAAGAATAGCTGTTAGAGAAGAGATAGATCTTACGTAAGCCAAAGGCTATTTAAAGAGCTTCTATTTCACCAACTGCGTCTACGCATTCACCAAAAATAACTGGGACCGGGTAGACATGAAGTCAAGTAATAGCCCCCACGACAATTATCATTGCCTTCACCACCAACTACTCGTACTCCCATACCGGTAACACCAGTCAAGAAGGTAAGGCAGATTCTATAGCTGCTGATTCTAGCACACCGGAAACCCTCATAGTAAGAGTGGATAGGCTTACACCGGTTAATTGAAGACTTTACCATTCTCGATGCAGCGGGAACGCTCACTCGCACCAACGGATACTGTCAAAGCTAATTGAAGTGCTAGTCCAGCAACTGCAGTTGTCTTTCTGTTTGCAATTGAATCACTAAAGTTGGAGGGTGCTATTGACTCAGTCGTAGATGGGATTCATACTAAGGCAAGCTCTTGAAATTAAACCCAAACAATGGGGAAGGGATAAGAGGGAAGACACTCATCTGCAGATTGGAGACCAAGGTTATTTCCAGGAGGCTCGGGTGAGAGGGGTGTGATGAATAGATATTTCCCACCAGCAGCTTCTCCTATCACTTTACTTCTGCAGGCGCTGGATCTTAAGGTAAATGCCCGGATCCAGATTAGATAAGATAAGGATTTCGGGTAGTGAGAGAACCGAGCTGGGCCGAGCAAGTCCTCACTCGAAGAAGCAGACTGGCCTGGCCGGCTTAAAGGCAAGTTGAAGTCGAAAAGCCTTAGATGACTCTTTCGAGAAGGACTTCCCGGATTCGGAAGTAGCAGTCCCTCTATTCCAGTTGCAAAGAAAGAAAGGAGTAGCCTTTTGTTTTGAAAGGCAGGCTTGCTATACTAGATTGCTTGCGTCTATGATCGAACTTGAAACTAGCCCGAGAGGTAGAGCACAGCGTAAGGGAGAGAGTGAGGGTGGAACCTGTAATGTACCAACGAGGGAAATTGGAAACAGTACCTAAACCTCTCCTCAGATCGTTAGGGAAGTTCCGCTCCCGAACCATCCAGCGGCCAACAAAGCCCTGCTTTCCAAACCCCACCGATGGACCTGCCAGCTTCACAGCAAGCTCCTGCTCCAGCGGGCCCCTTAGGTGGTGCATCCTCCTCTTCCTCGTGGAGTGGCTCGTGGATAGATAAGTGGTTTTTTCCAGAGGAGGGGTCATCTTCGGACCCAAACCAGGAGGAGCCCCTTGCTACGAATCAACCAACCGAGGTCATGGGGCCGGAAGCTCCTAGTCCTTCATGGTTAAAAGAAAAGATTCTCCGAATCTTCTATATTAGAAAAGGGCGGAGAACCTCCTCCACAGTTCTAAAGAAACTTTGTCCGGAGGATCTGAAGCTCGAAAGAGCTTCCCCAGGGAAGCGACTCAGAATCCTTAACATTCTAGAAGATATGGTCGAACATAAAGATTAATTTAGGAATTACAAACTCCACATAGAGTTAGCTGTGAGAATTGCCGATTGGGAGAAAGATCAAAGGGACTGACTGACTTTGTAAACGAACACATCGAAGAACCTAATGGATCGGGATTGGTATATTTCTTTTTTTTCCGGGACACACCTCCGTGCGCCCTGGCCGGGCTGACAGGTTGGTTTTTGGCGCCAAAAACGGAGGGAGAGATAAAAATCTCTCGTTAGGTCTTGGTATGGTTGCCGCGGGTTGTCGTCGGCCCGACGGACTTTGGGAGAAGAACCCCTTATCCCCCCGGATGTAGTCTTCATTAGTCTTGCCTTTTGTCGAGGACGAACCGAGTTATCAAACGATCAGAAATAAATCCGGACCATGCATCTGGAAAGCGCTGGTGCAAGCCCAGCTCGTGACCCAGGAACTCCCCCTTAAGGTGCATTCCTGCCTTTTCCTTCTGCCTTTGCTACCGACGGGGTATTCCCGTCTAAATAATAAAATCCTTAAGCTGGATAGCCTTTAGGCTTAGTTAGTTAAGAGTAATCCCCCCTTGCACCTATTCTACTCCGAAGTAAAGAAAGATCACTCCTAAAAGCTGCCTTTCTCTTATATACTCAACCACTCGCCATCAATAATATTATCCCCACCCAACGATAAAGGCACGGCAGGTTTCGTAGATAGAGTACATGAGTCGACTTCTCCTCTCCTCTTATAGTATTCTTAGTTAACGTTAGAGAACTGGATTATCTGAGCATCGTCTATCTAATAGAGTCATAAGCTGGATCTACTGCTTAACCAAATGAGTCCTATTTAGGAGGTAGTATAGACTTATGGACCCGAAGACTCAGATGAGTATGCCTCATATGTCTTTGGCAAAGTCGAGTTCTTTTCTTCTTCATCAGGGAAACTGGTCAATCAGGCTCTACAAGACCTCTACCCCAACTGAATCTATGTTAGCTCTAAACCACGTTATCAAGAATCATTCAACACCCATCAATAGCCACGCTATCTCAGTAGCTAACCGGCCAGAATTATGGATCCAGATTTTAAATAAAAAGGTGGTGGCCGGGACGGGAATCATAAGAATCACCTGCAACGTCAACGACTGGATCAATTGCTTAATCGACTGAAAGGTGAAAGGGAGGAATCTCGTTAGACTGGAACGGGCTATTGATTGGATTTAGAAAAGAGAGTAGGTCCCCTTTTTTAGGCAAGAAATGGGATAATAGATCTTTCTATCTTACGCAAGTTCTGCTTTATCCTTCTTTCGTTCTGAGGCTTTCTTCTCTTCTTTTTTTTAGTTAAGACATTTTTCTAAAAGGTTAGCTGAATAGCCTGTAGCAGAGTGGATTTACGGTATCCCCCCTCCTCTCTCTTAGAGTGCCAAAACCAAGAGCAATTGACCCACGGGCAAAGGCGTAGGAAGCACAGGTCAAAGAAGCAGCACTCGCCGCAGGAGATCGAACAGATCCGGTTGGTTGATTCAAGTCTAAGTAGCATCAAAAAAAGCGAGATACAGTGGTTTATCCCCATTGACCGAGTGAAGTAACAGCAGGCATGGCATCATAGGCAAAAAGAAAAAAGGCCTTGATTGACACGTACGTAGGTTCTGGTGGGAACATAGACATCTCACTCCGTGCTATGAACGAAGGAGCGCGTAAATCATTCATTCTTAGGCCCCGCCTAAACACTCACTCCCACAACGGATAGAGAGTCACTATGGCTAGATCAAAAGAACGCACGAAAGGAATAAATCTACAAAGACTGATGGTTGAGAAAGAACTATATAGATTGGTGAGGCTACCGGCTCTGTTGCTGATTCAACTCAATCGACAGATGAAACTAGCTCAGATGCTGCCTCCCCCTTATGGTGCTGCTCCTGATTCTCGGTCAACTAAATGAAATCAACGGCCAACTACTGACTGAGTAAATGTAAACTGGATCAATAGGAAAAAGTTGCATTCCGTTCCGTCAGAGGTTTATATAAAATATAGATCTAAATCTCGCTTTCGAACCAAAGAAAGACTATGGCTATAAAAACAGTAACTGCCGCAAACTAAAGTTTGTTCCGTAATTTTATGGTGGTGCTTAGATAGTCACTGATGCTGGTTTAGAAAAAAATTATTAAAATGGAACTGGAACTCGGTCTCAATCTGTGGGGTAGGGATCTCGAAATGAAATAGGGTTCCTTGAGCGCTTTAAGCTGGATTTTATTTGAATTCTTATTATTCTAATGTGCTACCACCTTTGTTCTTGCTTCTCCTTCGGATCTTTGGCTATCTCGGATGCTCTTACTAAGGGATGTTGTAACATCACTCCTAGGAACTAACACAGATGTCGGCACCTCATTAGGGGAAAGACTAAAACATACCAGCCATTTCTATTCATTTCCCACCATTGCATTTTTTTTCTTTCACGAACGAATCCATCTTACTTATCAAACATCATTTCCCGAGCCGGGCATGAGCTACTCCCATCTAGCCAATCTCGATTTGGGATCTTAGCAGCTGCCCTTCTTTCTACTGGGTATGAACTCAAAGAATCTCCTTTTTTGGACAGCCCCCTATCTTGTAAGGCCAGCTTCTGTGGCTTTCCCTCATTGCAGAGAGGCTTTCGCTTAGCAACCTTTACCATAAGCTCAATCTTAATTGGTGATCTCAGTTAAATTAAGGGCATTCGAAAAAGACTCTAGGATCTTATACTGTCTTGAATCGAGGATTTTATTCCTTCCCTCCCTCCAGCTCTCTAGTTCTCTTCCTTCGGCTCTCTTTTAAGGTATTCCACTGGTGTCTATTCACCCATCTCTTCAAAAGTCTAACTCGGGGAAGGGAATAATTTATTTAAGAACAACGTTCGTTTAACTCCGAAACGATCCCTAGAAGAGGATCCTATCCGCTCATGGAAGCTAGTCACACAGCTCTAAAAACTAGAACTCAAGAAAGAATGAATAACTGCTCCAACTCCATAACTCACTAACCACAGAAACAGAGAGAAGCAACTCGGAACGGCAAGTTCGAACTGAAAGAGCTACTGAACTAACTAAACAATAAGAAGTTCAAGAGGAAGAGTAGTTTTTGAAGCAGATAGTCTTCTGAACTACGTACACCCAAGTCTTCCACTCGTCCGCGCTTCCCCTAGTGAGTGAGGGTCGATAAAAATTATCATCATTCTATCGAATGAAATTAGTACGCCTGGTGAACCATGCCTGGCCCTTTTGTATAAAAAAGAGAGATAATCCCCTCAATTCTTTTACTTTGAAAGGAAATACACCTCTGTTGGAGGCCTAAGACGAAGAAACGCAGTTGCTCGATTGAAAGGTGAGGACGCATAACTTCCCTTTTGGCTTTATTCCGCTAGGAAATTGGACTCTGACTGAGTGTGAATGACCGACTTGGCATTCTCCGCCGGCCTCCTTGCTACGTTGAAAGAACACAGGGAGTAGAGCGGCCCGTCTGAGTACATAAGATATTGTTTACCATAAGAGGTTGTTGGATAAGTCCCCGGATAGGGAGATCCGGATAAACGAAAGGGGCTTGTCCTCACTTACTTGAGCAAGGAATGAAAGACTCGCTTGCTTAGCGCAGGACGGAACAAGAAAGGAAAGAAAAAGAGAAAGACCCATAATTCAACTAAGAGAAAAGCAAGTAGCACAATCCCCTCACCTAGGGATAAGACCCCTTCTGATTCTTGTACGTATACTAGATCTGTCTGGATTGGATCTACTAGAAGAGGCATAACTCGAGTGATGCCTCTATTTATGCCCTTAGGCAGGAGGAGCGACTGGGCTCTCTCGATTCATAGCAACTGGGAGAGGGGATGGCGGAACTTAAACCAGTACTTGTCTGGCATGGCCGGTTTAAGAATTCCTTTTAGAGATAGAGCTAGAAGCGCGGTTAAGCTATCACGCTTAGTGACATAAACAAACTAGCACCCTAGGGAAGAATCTTGGTCAAACCCGAAAGGAAAGCTACTTTAAGATAAGAATAAAACCGAGGGGTTTCGTCTGTCGAATAGTTACCCAGGAAAGCAAGATGCTATGGAAGGAGGGAAACCCGCTAACTACAATTTTCTAGTTACCTTAGCCTGGTAAACCCGACACCTATGAGGATATCCGGGGCATTCTCCTCACTTTCGGGAGAAATGCACGACTTGATAGCTCATCTGCAGCCCTTCTCTTGCTCGGGCGATAGAAGCACACTCCAGAGACCTGCCCGCTTAGTGACATAAACAAAGAAGCTCCCTGGGGCAAGGAAAGTTAGCCACCTCTTTCACCCTCGGAGGGGTTTCCTTCGATAGAGGATTAGGAAGGGCATGACTACTATATTACTTGGCAGGTTTCATCATTCTTCCACCTCGAGGGATCGATGTGGGAAGGGCGCTTTCCACTATATGAGCTAGGAAAGCCCGTCTTTTGAATGAATTAACAAACCTTTTCCCTCCGTGGAGTGAGATCATCACGATAAGGTTTTAGAAAACCGGGGATTTTTGCTTAAAGAGCGATTTATCTCCGTAGACTCAGATAAAAATCGAATCGTTTTGACCTGGCTTAAAAAGACGCGATTTACGAATGAACAAAGAAGAAGCGAAGCGGGGAAGCCTTATTCAATCAACTACAATAAGAAGAAGGACAGGCCTGCACCTAGGAATAAATCCAAAACGTCGAGGTCTCGACGAGCCTTGAATTTATATTACACAAATTGTTGTGGACATAGTCAACCTCCTACTAAGAGAGGGAGACCAATCCCCAGGAAAGGGAAGTCCGGCTAACTCTATATTTTTTATAAATTTACTATATAGGATAGGGGCAGGTCTCGTTCTGTTGAAAGTGTTCGTAGCGCTGCTGGTTTAGTTCCCCACTCGGATTGTCGGGGGGGGGGAATTGCACATTTGGTTTGAAACTATCTATCTAAGAGTCTTAGGTTCTATAAAACCTTAAAGTAAGATGCAAGCTTAGTTGAGTTCAGTTACGCCAAGTAATTGCATATAGAGAAGAGAAGTAGCCGTTGAAGCAATAGAAATATCATAAGAGAGAGAAGAAAGCTAGTTTTTTGCCCACCAAATCCCATGTCTTTCTTGGTTGGTAAACCCAACCGGCGATTTACATTACAACAAGTCTTTGCTAAAAGAAAGCAAAGCGGATAACTTTTACTGTGAATATATAATCATGCCAAGCTGGCGCGAGTTTTTTAGAGCAAGAAAAGAATATGAACGAGGAGAAAGCATTCGTTATCTTTATATGGATAGCCAATTCTTATTAAGATATTGTTTGTATTCTTTACCCGGAAAATGGGTTGACTATTTTGAAAGATCGGAACATGGGAATAGATATGGTACCAAAACGGACTACCTATTTCAATTTTTGTGCTTTCTTAAATTGCATACCTATACAAGGGTTCAAGTTTCGATCGATATTTGCGGAGTTGATTATCCCTCTCGAAAACGAAGATTTGAAGTGGTCTATAATTTACTGAGTACTCGGTATAACTCACGCATTCTTATACAAACCAGTGCAGACGAAGTAACACGAATATCTCCGGTAGTCAGTCTATTTCCATCAGCCGGCCGGTGGGAGCGAGAAGTTTGGGATATGTTTGGTGTTTCTTCCATCAATCATCCGGATCTACGCCGTATATCAACAGATTATGGTTTCGAGGGTCATCCATTACGAAAAGACCTTCCTCTGAGTGGATATGTAGAAGTACGCTATGATGATCCAGAGAAACGTGTGGTTTCTGAACCCATTGAGATGACCCAAGAATTTCGCTATTTCGATTTTGCTAGTCCTTGGGAACAGCATAAGCGACGGATAATTCAGAAAGAATCATAATAGGTCCAGCTCTATAGGATAGGGGACAAATCAATAGGAAATGCTATTTGCTTTGTAAGAAGAAGAAGAAACTGATATGAAATTAAAGAGTTCGCGGGAATTGTCTTGATCGTCGGATATCATTTTAAAATAGTAGTGAGAAGTCTTATCGAACGATTTCCTGCAATTCTTCCCAGTATGTCATGAGTAAAGAATCCAGCTACAACTCTCGATCTATACAAAACGCACTGGGTTTTTGTGTTTATTTCGGTTTCATTGATAGCAGAAGAGCCTGACTCTATAGGATTAGGGGCACTAGCGCTTTATTTTTAAAATTAAAAGTAAAAAGTAAAGGGGCCTGAAAACGTAACGTAATAGGCTGCTATTCTAGGCTCGCTCCGCCCCTTATTGGAAAACTAAAGCGCTAACGCGCCTTATATTCTTTTTTTTTAGTAAAGCAAAGCAACCTTTCGCGCCAGGCGCTCACGTTTTTTGTCGTCTGGGTGGAAGCTGGCGGCTGGGCTTGCTTAACCGTATATATGGAATCGGGACTCGCCCTGGATCTCCGAATAGCCTCACCATAAACTGGTAGACACACTGAGCCACCACGTACCCCTCTCGCCCGTCGTATGCTATGGATGGTCACACTAGCCCCTCGATGGCATGGCGGGATTTCCCATTGACTGTTCCTGAGGTGAGGTCATTCATTCTTTCTTTTGGGAGATCCTTAATCCTGGAAAGAAGGAAAGGCATCAATCCAGACCGGCAGCACCCGAAAAGGAGTCTTAGCTTTAGGTAGTCTTGGCTTTGCTAGGCAGGCTTCCCCGGTCGTACCGTTCGTAAATTCCTTCCGTTCTCCGCCAATTCTTTTTTTATTTGATTTTGCTTCCATTGTCTTGCTGAACTGCTTTTCCTGTTGAAGCTTTTACGGGGGCTTTTGCTCATGCCGATTCAGAATGCTTTATCATAAAAATATTAAATATCTCTTTTGTGTCCATTCACCGAGACGAGCACAAGACAGTGCTTGGAGATTAGATCTTGTCTTCTTTCGCTTGGTTTCCCCAGGTGGTGTGGTTGGGGAGTAGAGACCTCGATGCCGGGTCGTTCCAAAGTGACTTGCTATTGCTGCTGCAGTGCTTCTTGTTCATCATCCAGGAATTTCTTTAGAATCTTTGCCTTCCTTACCAGGAATTGGATTCGAACCAAGTATAAGATATTAAAAATGTCGGAGAATACCCGGTATTTGAGTTTTTAGCATTAACACGATTAAATCTTATTTTTTCCTAGCCGATTCTTCCCTTCCTTCTCTTCTCACTCCCCGGGTTTAGCTCCCGACTGGAGGGAGAGGGGCAAGGCATTAGGGATAGCTGCTTTCGTCTCCAGTAATGGATGGATAAGGTGGTAGTGCAAAATTTCGGAGTAGCCGTAATGGAAGAACTTTTAGCTTGGTTGTCCGGCCCTCTTCACCGATCTCCTAGCCCTACGAATAAAACATCTCCGGGCATCTGGTTTCAAAGAGAGATTGGTTAGTCGCCTTCTGTTCATTCTTACCCCTGACTACCGGACCCCATTGGTTAAGTTGGGGCAGGAATAGCTATCGGACTACGATCACAGGCCGGGCCGACCCTCCTTTATTATAGTCCAGTTGGAGAGGGAAAAGTCCCATCCGTTCCAGAAGTCGCAGAGAAATGGAAGGCTTCAATACCAAAAACTACGGAGGCATGATCTCAAAATGGGTAAGCCCGGTGGTTCAAGTTTAGCCTAGCCAACAACCAACATCAGCTTCTAGGGAGAGTAGGAGCTCCTGTTGCTCCAACCATTCTAGTGAACCGGTCGAGACCAGCAGCTATGAATACCCTGTGCCGGTTGTGCGAAGGCAGCCTCAATAAAAATCAAGAAAAACGTCCTCCTAAGGAAATAAAGCTGATTCACCTCTACCCTATTGGTTAATCCCGAAGGAAGCTTCCCTGAGAGAGCTGCTATAAGATAAGCTCTTTTTCCATTTAGTTTAGAGAGAGTAGCTTGCTTTCCGCGGTCTGCTATTCCTTTCCTCTAATGACTCAATTTAAAACCTACCGAAATGGCTCTTTAAAGAAGGGCTTGATTCACAGGAAAATTTTGAGAGGGTCGACCAGTCCATTTATCATCCCACCACTCACCCAAGCAAGCTCAGGAGTTCAGGTGCTACAGATTAGTGAAGCCCGATCGTAAGTAACTTCCACAAAAGATATCTAGTTTTTGTCCTTCTCGGGTTCCAGTCCAATCTTCTGCTGCTGCCCCCGGCCTATACTTAATTTTAGACTTTATGGTCCAGGCCTCAGGCTTACACAAGTCTAATTCTTCCGCTACCGATATTGGATCTGAGCCTTCCTTGAAAGAATCGCAAACAAAGAATCGCGTGACGAAAAGCTAGGTTTTATTCCATCTCTAGTTTCATCGGATCATTCATAGATGACATGCTTCTAAAGACTGCTGCTCAACGGCGTACGGCTGACGACAACGCAAGGCCGTGTACCGAAAAGCTGCCACCCAGTATAATGTACCAACGCCTGCCTTAATTTGACGGACGCGACGATGATAGCTACGAAATGTGCCGAGCCTATGTCCTTCCCCATCTAAGGGACAGTGTAGAGCGAACTTACCAGATTCTTCCTGAATCTTTTCAGACAAGGAGGGAACAACATCCCGGTCCGATGTTGGTTTTCCAACCCGACAGGACAGTCTTCCCAAGCGCCCGACTCAACGAGAATATAGCCTCATAGCTGGCACGGCAAAGCGTATCGTCCCCTATCTTTATAGCACCCCGGACACCCAATTGATCGTTCCCCGATTTACACCCGAAAGCCCTGAGTTCTACCCGATCATCCCCAGATATAGATGCGTCACACAAGTAACTCTCTCCTGATCCGCGACCGTGACCTAATTTCTTAGGCGGCTGTGCCAAGCTTAGTTGAAATTGAAAAAGGGACGGGCAGAAAGACCATTGCTGCTGCCAAAAATCCCGAGAAAACACAACTTTTCATAACTTAATGCCAGTCTCAGAGGGAAAAGTTAGTTCCAAGAATTACCTTCTATGTAAAAGACGATTTCCTCCTTCACTAGTAGAGTACTGGTACTCTATTTGAATTTGATTACTAGGCCATATCCCTACCCTAGTTCAAGGACTAAGTGATTTGCATATCTACCTTTAGCACCTAAGCGAGTGCTAATACAAACCTTACGGATTCAATAGCATCGGAGTCGAGAACAGCGCATATTCCAACAAGACCATCAACTGCGGGTAGGCTTCAAGCTCCTACTCATAGCCGCTCTTAGTACTAATTACAAGATAGGACGCTCTTGGTCTTTGTTGGTGAATGCCTATCTGGCTGGTGTTCAAGTCTCCGGTCCTTGTCCTTCTATTAGTGGTGGTATCCTAAGATTCCGGTTTAGAAATGATCTCTTTCTGTAACTATCAATTTCATAAGAGAAGAAAGCTGGCAGCGCTGGTTGGATCCTAGCGTAGATTCCAGTTGTCCCTGTTGAATGATCGAGTAGCTTCGACTTCACCTTTTATCGAAATTGGCTTCGTCTTCAGTCTATCGTAGTTAAAGATCGAAAAGAATGCATTGGAAGGTCAACTCGACCTACTTTGGTCAGTGCAATAGGATAGGAAGGAACTTTCTACGGTCAATGCGAATAGAAGTTTACTATAGTCAGTGCACAGTGTAAGATTTTCTATTCCGTAAGTGTCAGTAACTTAGTGCATGTAAGGCTTGGAAGAAGAAAATTAAATAAGAACAACCGCGCTGGTCGTAATAGATTGACTTTCATGCTGGAGCAAGAACTAGCATTAAAGTTCCATTTCCGGGAAGGCTTTTTGGACTAAGGGTACCATGATACTTTCTGTTTTGTCGAGCCCCGCTTTGGTCTCTGGTTTGATGGTTGCACGTGCAAAAAATCCGGTACATTCCGTTTTGTTTCCCATCCCAGTCTTTCGCGACACTTCAGGTTTCACATTTTTTTGTAATCTACCACTTATTAGGAAAATTCCCAATAGAGGGAAAGACCTTTTATATTTTTTAACTGGATTCTTATTTAGTCTTGTTCTTTCACGAGGAATAATGGAACTAGGTTATGTCTTCATGGAAGACCTCGCTAGAGCTGTGGCACAATTCTACCCCTCTTCATCTGGAGGAATGTCTGGGGGGTTCAATCAACCTCCTTCCCCAGAGGGGGCTCTGCCTGCATTTCACGAAACCCAAGATCAGCCTGGTCCTTCAGCTTCAGAAGGGGAGGGTCGGGCTGTCCGGGATTTTAGCAGTGAATTGCGTAATATTGAGTCATTACGCGAAGATAAGTC